TTAGGAAATATGACAAAGGAGGAAGCCATGAAGAGTTATATTGAGAACATCCAGCTGGTAAGTCCTTTCAGGCAAAACTGGGGCTGAATAGAAGCAGCACGCAGAATAATAAACACTCGTGGCATCATGCTTTGAATAAATGACTTGGCGTGCTCAGAAAAGCGTGGGCATTTAGTCGAGGGATATCTTAAACAACTCTCCTTTTGCAAAATCTATAAAGTATCTTATTGGCGCTGTTGTTTGCCTCAACTTGCATGCATTTGTACCATAATGCTCCCGAATCAAAAGAGCCTTTCTGTTGATTTATCAAATTTGTATGTGTGTTTTCAGATTCTGGAGACTGTGCCAATTTCAGAAGATGTGTCTGATCTGATACAGATGCTGGGAAATTTCTACACAGAGGTAGAGGGAGAGGAGGCTGAAGAAAATGAGGTGGACAGGAGAGCCTTCACCAGGCCCTTTGCACAACATGCGGGTAAAGCAAGCCTGGAAACATGCCTATTGAGTATTCTCAAGTTGTCGTGTTTCTGATCAGTATGGTGTCATGACATGACGGCATTCCATCTCAATTCATCAAATTTTGCAAAATAAATAAATTCAGTCAAATTCCATTATCTCGAAAACTAGTCGAGCTGGATCCTTCACATCTTTAAGGTAAATGTCTGGTTTGGCGGCTCTGTGACTGTGGACTATCAATTAAAGTTCATATAGAGCAGGGGTGTCAAACTCAAATACACAGTGGGCCAAAATTCAAAACTGGAACAAAGTTGCAGGCTAACATTAATATTTATTGAAAAAAAAATCTTCCTCCAGATATAAGAATGAATCTTTTCTTATGGACTCAAATAAGTTTTGCTGAAAAACTGAATATGGAACAAGCAAAGCTTAATACTAAACAATATATATATTAGCTGTATAATACCAGTAGGCCAGCTCTAATAGTAATTTGGTATGGCTTCGCGGGCCAGAGTTTGACACCTATGATATAGAGTGATGGATGCTTGCAGTCCCTAAAATGATTGACATTTGACAGCAGATTTGGAGGCCTGTAGAAACCACCGTTTTGCATATATTTCGTTTACAGCTTCTCATACACACACTTGATTTTCTTTAAAACAAGAGCTTTCACAGAGATTAAATCTAAATACATTTTCATCCAACTTCAATGCGATATGTACTGAAAGCCAAATAACGAACAAGATTCTGTTAATGTCATATCGAAAGTTTGTGATGGTGCTCTCTCTCATTTTCCCAGTATCGATTTTGAAACACTCATCTATCTGCTAAACATTGTAATGACCCTGTTGCTAAGCGACTGTAAATGTTTTGAGGGGTTTCGTGTGGCTTTTGGTCCACATGTGAAGGCACGTCAAAGGAAATGAAAACACAGTAGCCTGCAGGTGATAGCAGCGCTGCTCAGATGGGGTGATATGGTGATCTTTTCTTTTCTTAATGCATGTCTTACATGTTTTTTTATCCCTAGATGAGCTGGTTAGACCTTTTAAGAAGCCCACAATGGAAGGCAAGTCCTTGGTGTTTGCGATGGCTGTAGACTTGATAGAGTTTTTTAGTCTAGTTACGTTGCTTTCATTGCTGTTGCAGCTGAGTGAAAATCGTCTCTGCATTAAGCTGTATGAGTTGTAAATAAAATAAAAAAAATTAGAGCAGATTTTCTTGTGCTTTTTTGTCATGTCTAGTATGTGCTGTGGTAAGGCGTGTTGGTCTGTTGGCTGATGTCAAGTTTCCTGTGTGGCTTTTCTGTTGTGCAGATTTTTGCTGTGCATCTATATGCAATTTTTGAATTAATCAAGAGCATTTCCCTCACTGTTCAGGGTATGGGGATCTGTGGGATGATATTCAGAACCTCCACGAAAACGAAAACGACAACAGTGCTCGAGGCTTGAGTGTCAGTAGCGAGGAGAATAGTGGCGTGGAGAGAAATGAGGGAAGTAGTGAATGGAGGAGAAGTGAGGAAGAGGAAAATGGGGATGAAGGACACAATGCGGACCATGAAGACAAGGAGGAGGAAAGAGGTACAGTGTAGTTTGGGTCATGGGCTGACAGAGGTGCTGGTTTGTGTTGTTGTAGGGGCAACATACAGCCAAATAATTGCTTCTCTCCTAACTTTCCTTGTTTGTTTGCCTGTTTTAATGAGTTTAGCAGTAAATCAGTGCAGCTATTAAGTCTGCTCTTTGGGATCCCATAAACCCTTATTGCCAAGTATTAGATAAGACCATTAGCTGAGATTTTTT